GTCATGATCCCAGGACACTGGGATCTTCCTCTGTCTGCCACTTGCTTGCTCTAAAATAAAAAAAAAAAAAAATGGGAATAAATAAAAAAATTTAAAAAAATGGGAATGGAAGGCAAATTCTTGGTTTTAAATGAAGGAAAACAGAAGTTCTCAGACTTCTAAATTCAGATATTTTTGTTCTTCTGAACTCTACTCTCATATGAAACAGCGTATACCAACATCTTGGTTTCACCATTGGGTCAAGTAAAATTCAAATTTCCTGAATCACGAGAGATCTGATAGCCCAGGACCATGAAAGTGCCATTTATATTCCAACACATAAAATCTCAAAGATTGTTTTTAAAATAATCTTTTATCTTTAACATCTAATGTTTAAAGGAAGATATTTGAGAGAGTGTGATACTTGCTGATGTCTATAATTACCACTTTGGGAAGCAGCAAAGCTAATTATTTCAAAGTTTTAATTATAATGAAGCTTAATATATGATTAACGATGTTGACATTTCCTGTTGCCACGTTTGTTCTCCAAAAAGATAATTTGAATGTGGGATATATTTTTCAAAAAGTTCACTGAACCCTTGTAGGCACAGCCATAATTGATAATCATGAATAGCTTTGGGGACAGAAAACACAGCTGCCTGTGCAGGAAAAGCCTGTCCAAGTGACCAAGGAGAGCTTAATCCTTATCTGAAGTGAGAGAAACATTGACTGAGGGTGTGGGGAGAAAAATAAAAAGAAAACCTACGTGGGTATGCTTGGTGGATATTCATGTATTTGGTTATAGACCTGTAATTAGAATAACGTGGTAATCAGAACTTTCAATTAAAGAAATTGCCAGGAAAATCTGTTACAGAATTCACTGGAACTCAGCTTCCAAAGTCTTGTAACTTTTGGTATTGAGGACAGCTTGCAGGTCGGGAATGTAGCATTTAAGAACAGGGTCATGTTTCAGAGGAGAGACTTAGAACAGTGAGTCTGGAAGAGACAACTTTGAGCAGTGAAAGCTTCTGCAATCAGATCGCAAGTCTGAAGTTGGTTTTTAGATTTGACTCACATTTGATGTGGTGATGTGTCTGGAGCCCTGAACTTAGGCGCAGAAGACCTGGAATCACCCCGTTCCTGCCTTCAACAGAGCTGGTCACCTCATGGAAGCTTCCTCAAGGAAACTAGTCACCTCAGCATTCTCATTTTAGAACCGACAACCCCCCTTCCATGCTGCCATGAGGCAAGAGTGAGGGACTGCTCATGTGCAAGATGGCAGAGTGCCCATTGAGTGAGGTGTTCTGTCATCCACTTGTATTTTGAGTCATACTCACAAAGACAGATAGCATCCGGGGCCAGAAATGACATTTAAAAACATTTGTTTTAAAATTTTTAAAGAGAGAAAGTATGCAAGCAGGGCAAGTGGCAGAGGGAGAGAGAGACAGAATCTTAAGCAGGATCCATGCTCAGCGCAGAACGTGACAGGACTCTGGAATCATGACTGAGCCGAAATCAAGAGTCAGATGATCAACTGACTGAGCCACTCAGGTGCCCTGTCATTTTGGATATAAACCGCAACCTTGTGAGTTTCTGCTTTTACAGAAATTGAAATTGTCATTTGCTGAAGCCATGTCAAGCCATGGGGAAGTTTCAGAGCCCTGGCCCTCGTCAGGTGGTGGAGGTCAATGTGCAGTGTCTGTGTGACGCCCAAGCAATGCTTCCAGCTTGGTGTCCCAGAGACGTGTGTGTGTCTCAGCGTGGCCACCTGCTCTACCAGCTCGATGGTTTAACCTGCCTGCTTCACCTGTAAAACGGTGGTGGCCATAATAGTACATAGTCCGTAGGGTTTTAACTAAAATGTGTAGCTTGTTTGACTGAAAAGGAGAAACCTCCACACGTTGGAGATCTTGTCCCTTAAGGTTCCTCAGCAAAGCTCATCTTAGATTTTCCTCAGTCAACATTGCTTATTTTATTGCACCCATATTTCTAAGTTATACCATTGGATCTTTGCCTCTTCAAACAGCGAACTGTTTATGCAGCTGAAAACCTGATACATACAGATGATAAAAATATACAAATGCAGAGTCTTACAATGAAACCATCTCCCAGTGCAGACCCTGGGTCTCCTGGCCCAGAGGCAAACATGGCTAACACATTTTTGTATATCCTTCCAAAAATATGATTTTATATTGCATGTGTGTATATATGTATACATTTGTATATATATGTATAAGTAGTGTGTATATTTATATATCTGTCACCTTTTTTCTAACAAATGGAAGCCTATAGACCTGGATTTGCATCTTGTTTTTCTGCCTTAAACAGTTTTTTTTTTTTTCCTGGACATCTTTACCAATTAAAATGTGTTCATCTGGGACACCTGGCTGGCTCATTCAATAGAGTGTGTGGCTCTTGACCTCGGGCTTGTGAGTTTAAGCCCCACGTTGGGTGTAGAGATTACTTAAATAAGTAAACTTAAATTATGTAGATCCTTGGCTACATAGCATTCATTTTATAGATATAATATTGTATGTCTGTCCTTCATTGATTTGAAGGACATTTATGGTCTTTGGAGGTCTACAGTGAGTATCCTAACATATACACTTAGGCATATGTAGGAGAATATCTTGAAACTCCTAGAAATGAAATTTCTAGGTGAGGGAAATGCATTTTGCATTTGGATAAAGAGTACAAATTGTATTCCAAAGGGTCTGTATCGTTCAGATGTAACACTAGTTTTCTCTAATCTTGCCATCATTGCATAGGATCGCATCCTTTACCTTTGCCCATCTGGTAAAGGCAAAAAATGGTATTTTTATCGTTTTTAAAGAAAATCATGAGGAAGGTTGAAAATGTCTACTTCTTCATCTATGACTTGCTGTTTATGACCTTTGTAGAGCAAAGTTACAAACAGTGTGTCTTGCTAGAAAACCCAGTAAAGGGGCGCCTGGGTGGCGCAGTCGGTTGGGCGTCCGACTTCAGCCAGGTCACGATCTCGCGGTCCGTGAGTTCGAG